GCAGAAACAGAAAGTTGCTGCGGCCTGGATGTGCTTGGAACGGGGCGACAGGAGAGGTCGGCATCTGGTGAGGACCTGGGACTCAAAGGGCTCAACACCTCCATGCTGACATTGGCATTCTCATCCCGTTCTGCTGCAGACAGCTGCCTTGCTAGCTCACGAGTGACCTGGCACAATTCAAAGTGTGAGCTATGACCTACAAAGGATTACTTCAGGATGGGGAACATGGGATCCTTCAATTGCGTATGAACCACAATTCCCAGCATCCTTCAACTACTGTCCATGCTGGCTGGGGCTGCAGTTCAGCAACATTTGGTGGGTCATATGTTCTCTACTCCCCCCCCACCCCCGCATATAGGGCTGGATTATGATTACATTTTCCAGTGTTGAAAGAGTACTTTGGATATACAGAAACCAAGGGCTAGCTGAACCAGAGAGGATCCATGGTTGAATGAATGTAATCGCTTTGCATCTGAAGCACTGAAGATGTTACCTAGCTGGGTAATGAAACGTTTCCAAGAAAAGAACCAAGCTCAGAGAACCCCGAGGACTCCACACTTTGGATCTTTGCCCAGCAAACAACTCTTCTAGTAATCATGATGGATAATGAACTTGTTGAACTATATAATAGTTATAGACTATATGATAGTCTAACAAAGTATATAGTTGTAGACATACAGTTGATCTGAATGCACAGATGAATGGAAATGCAACAACATCGTAGGATGGACTGAAACAATAAGTGCCAAAATAGGAAAAGACTAAAATATGATTGATCAATAAAAGTATCAAAAATCAAGACATGAACTTCCATAAGCAAGAGCTGCCCAAGAACAGCTAGACCACTCCCTAAATTGACTTCTAAATTGTAACAATATTCCAGAATAAGACTGATGAAACCTAGTTGATCAGAGTCCAAGCTTTTAGGTTATAAAATAGGAGCTTGTCATCTCTTCTACTTCTGTGTGTAAGCTGAGAAAAGCGTGCGTAATGTGTAAGAGTGCATATGTAGAGTATAAGAACTTTTTTATAGCTAGTTATTATTATTATTATTTTTTGCTACTTTTCACTTACTACTTCTCTTGCTATCTTTTCACACTGGGAAATTTATCTGCAATCAAGAAGCTACAAGACAGTTTTTGCAAACATTATTAACTTCTCTGCTGACATTAGTTGGAAAAATTGTGTGGGTTGCAACAGAAGAGAATATCTGTAGCTGAGGGTTGAACTGTGGAGTCCTTGGTGCTCTCTGAGCTTAGTTGTTTGCTTGCAGACATTTCGTTACCCGACTAGGTAACATCATCAGCGCACACCATTCAAAAGAGATAATAAGAAAGCTAAGAAGGAAAAAAAAAGACCAGAACACATTGGGGTATAGGCTGCCGGAGAGGATGCTTTCTGGTCTTTTCTCCTTCTGGTATTAAGCAGGGATTAATACCAGATAAACAATCAAGCAGAAAACCACACCCCCACTGACACTGGCAGGACAGGCTACTGTATGTAAACAGGGAGCAAACCCCACACTCCCTTGCACTGATGATGTTACCTAGTTGGGTAATGAAACGTCCACAAGCAAACAATCAAGCTTAGAGAGCACCAAGGACTCCCAAAATTGTGTTGATCAGCAATGTGTACCTCTAATTACTTGTGCTGGAACTGAGAAATGTATTAAAAGGATAACTGTGTTTATTGAGTCAATAAACCTATGCAATTGTTGCACTGCTGCCTTCTGTGGTGATTGTCCCCTGATGGGGACAAAGACCCTAAGAGAGGAAGAAAAAAGTTCTCTGCGTTTTCCCCCTTCCCATATGACCCTTCTTGAGTTAGGAGATCCTCAGAAGATAACTTATTCGGGACAGTCCTACAGAATCTCAGAACTGGAAGTTTCCTCAGAGGCCATCTGGTCCAATCCACTGCTCAGTGCCGGATCTCATAAAGCATTTCAGAGAAATGACTATCTAATTTGTTTGAAGACATCCAATGAAGTGGAACATGCCACTTTACGAGGCAGCCTATTCCATTGGTTCATAGCTCCTGCTACATGACGTGAATCTACTTCTCTGTAGTTTCACCCCACTGGTTCTGGTCCTGCCCTCTGGACAACAAAGAACAAGTTCACTCTGTTCAGATATTCACATGTCCCTTCAGTCTTCTCCTCTGTAGGCGAAACATAACCAGTTCTGTTCACTGTTTCTCAAAGGATGGTTTCCAGTTCCCTCACATCTTGGTAACCCTCCACTGAACTCACTCCAGTTTGTCAATCTCCCTTTTAATCTGTGATGCCCACAACGGGACCCAGTATTTCAAGGTAGAGTGGGACAATTAATTCCTGTGATTTGGACTCTATGTTCCTGTTAATACATCCCAGATTAGCATTTGTCTTTCTAGCAATTGCATCACGTTGTTTGGGCCAAGAAGGTATTTCCTCCAAAAGTATATACTTGTCTCTGGAGGTATTTATTTCCTCTTATGTTGCAGCAAAGAACAAAAAGAAGAAATTTCCCCTGCATGCCATGATCCTGATGGTACCTTCATTACCTGAAGCCATTTGCATTTTTAAAAACTCACTTATTTAAATGAAAATACTTATTTAATCTCCATTGAAGTTCAGCTCTGAGGGATAGTGTTTTACCAATGTAACACAGGAAGGTCTGTGAAATGAAATACAGATTTACCTGGCCCAAAGATAACATAAAACTAAATTATGATAAACAAGCAAGGATTAAAAGAACTGAAGATTTGTAAACCATCATGAAGCTTGGGTTGGATTCTGATGTTCAGATAATTCACAATTATGCTAAACCATTTTAATTCAATATCTGCATGAAGCCACTGGAAGAGGTCATCAGCCAGCTCAGGATGAGGTTTCTCAATAGGTGGATGATATCCAGCTGCATATTTCCACTGCAGAACGTAAGGGAGATGTAGAAGAAGTCTAGACCTGGTGCCTAGAGGCTGTTAGTGTCTGGATAGTGAAAAATAAGTTCAGGCTCAACCCAAAGTAGATGGAGTGGCTGCTGATTCAGAAGTTGGCCAATTTCAAGATGGTTCCAACTTTGGCTCTAGATGGTGTTGTTCTCCTCAAAAGAGCAGGCTTGCAATCTGGGGGTACTCCATGGATTCATGGCTCCTGCTGGAAGAGGTGGATGCCTATAGCCCAACTCCATCTGATGCCAGTTCTGGCTTTCCATGGAACAAGCAGTACTGGCAACACTTACTCATGCCCTTGTCAACTCTACTGGACTACTGCAACTTGCTCTACATGGGATTTCCCTTGAAGACCACCTGGAAAAAGAACTGGTACAAAATGCCCATTTGTTAATGGGACAAACTTATCACTGTCACATTATGCCATTGTTAGGGAAGCTGTACCAGCTGATGATTTGTTTCTGGGCCTGTGTAGCTTGGAACTTGGTTATCTTCAAGATTGCCCACTCTAATTTAAATCTGCCCACCCAATAGGTACAAACATAGAGGGCATGTTGAGAGCTCCCACTAACTAGGAAATACAGGGGGAGGGGCTCAGAAATGAGCACCTTTTGTCAGCCCCCCTACCCCCCAGAACAAATTGTCCTTGGAGGTACGTTTGGCTCCTTAGTTAATGATACTGAGAAACCTTGCGAAAAGGTGGCTGTTTTAAAAAGCCTTTGGGGATTGAAGGAATTGTATAATCTTGGAATGCTTGTCTTGAATATAAGAGATGGTGCTATGGGATTGATAACAAAGTGACTCCTGTGAAGTTTTATTCCATATCATTATGTGCTGATCTGACTGATCATGATCTGACTTTTGTAAGCCACTTAGAGTCCATTAGATTGAAGCAACATATGGAAATCACAGTAACAAATTTTTTAAAATCCTGGTTTAGTGCTATATGTGATCTACTCCATTATTTACACAGTGATGCCCACAAAAGAATAAAATATCCTTCTGTAACTTGCATTTCAATGGAAAAGATTTCTGAACATATTTTACTCTCTCACAGAAATTTATAAATTACTTTTAAAGCCAGTTTTAAAAGTTTGTCACTTTTAAAAATATTTTATCGAGCCATCCAGATGGGCCATGGAGGTTTTTCTCCCAGTTGTTTAATTGCATGCGTTTATTTAAATAAATGATTGATTGCCACTTCAGTTGCTGAAGCAACTCTAGGCAGTATACAAGAACATCACAGAAACAGATTAAAAACGAATCCAACAATAAGAAGTACAAAATTAAACAACTCACATCGGGGAACCAACAGAACAATTATACAGATATCACAAGTGAGGTCACAAAATGCCTGCCCCAGGACCTGCTGAAAAGGTAAGGCCTTTAAGCCACTCATAAAGTAAAACAAGGCCAGGCCTATGTAGACGTCAGGGGGAACGCTATTGCAGAGGGCAGGGACAGCCACAGAGAAGGCGTGCCTCTGAGGTTTCATAGGATGGCATTGCTTTGCTGATGGGGCTTAGAGCATGCCAACCTTGCTAGATCTTACCAGACAGATATAAACAATTGTAAACAATAGGGGGTGTTGTGCAGCTGGCACTAGACTGGCTTTGAATTATGGGACCAGTTTAAAGGGAGAACATCCCAGTTCTTTGCAACTTTGGATCTAAGAGCTGTTTCTGGTATTTTGCTGTATTTTGGCTCCTTGATGATCTCAAATTTCAATGGCTGAGGGTATCTATTTCCAACTAGATAGTAAAGCGTTTTCTGCTTTTCGGATTAAGTAGAATGTCTGGTCATGTGAGAAATATTATGGTGTGGTGAAGGTACTGGTTTAGAACTGAGGAAACCCAGGTTCAGATTCACCTTTAGCCACAAAAGCTCACTGGATGAATTGTCCCTGAATTTGCTTTCCCTTACCCTGGAAATGTATCCTGAAAGGCAGAAGACAGCTAAGATTTCAGTTATTCTGTACAATATATACTTCTTGCTACCAAGATGTCATCCCCATTTCATGAAGAAGAGGCCCTAACAAAAATCAGACCTAAAAGCAGTCATCAAACAGTTACCTTGAAAGTATTTTTTGAATCATGGGAATGGACTTTCCTCTTCTCTTGAAAGCTGTGAAACAAAAATACAAAAGATTTGGTTAGAACTGAAATATTTTCACAATCCTGATATATTCCATTTTACATCTGAAACTGTGCAGTCCCTTTTTCCCATAATTTGTTTTTAAACTGCACTATTAAGAGATTTAATCTTCTTTTTAATCTTTAATTTAATCTTCCTTTGTGGGAAGGATTGTCTTAAATTCAGTATGGTGTTTCTTCCTGACAAATACAGTATAAAGTTCAGCCCCTTGTTCAATTTAGAATTTAAAAAGCCTCAGCACAATAATTTTTGTAACAATTATCCTAAATATCCTAAAAATCAGGAGTCTGGTAGCACCTTTTCCAACTAACAAATGTTATTAGATGCATGCATATTTTATTCATCAGATGCAAAGAGTTGCTGGAATGATGTAGAATATAAATTGGGGTGAAGGGTAAAATGTTGGGGGGAAAGGGAAGGGAATTTCAGGTTGTTTATCCAGATGTAGATTACACATGAGACAGATTGCAAGTAACCTATCGTAATGTGTAAAAAAACTCATTTTGTTTGTTATGAGCTTCTGAGATTGCCTGAATCAGGTAATTTCTTGCTTTTAAGCTCCGGTTTTTCCAAAACAGATACTTTGCAGTCTGTCATGGATAGGGTTACCAGACATCTGGCAAAAGGAGGATATGTGCCCTTTTGTCCTCATGCTTCCTGTCCAGCAGGCATGATCTTAAAACCAAATGTTAGACAGACAATCAAGCAGTAAACAACAGCCTAATCCAGGAACTACCACAAACCCCACTCCCTTCTAGCACTGAAGATGTTACCTAGCCAGGCAATGAAACATTTGCAAGAAAACAACCAAGCTCAGCTGCTTGGGGCATGTTTACGTGGTGCGAGAGAGCGCCAAATTACACACAGAGTAGAGGGAAGTCTTTCACACTTTATTTCTGTACAGAAGCAAAGAGGCACACTTGGGACCAAAATCCAAATCAATGCCCAAAGGGGCGTCATCCAAAGTTTTCTATGGAGTCCTTGGGGTTCTCTGAGCTTGGTTCTTTTCTTGCAAACGTTTCGTTACCCGGCTAGGTAACATCTTCAGTGCTAGAATAGAGTGGGGTTTGCTCTCTGTTTATATACTATGGCATGCCCTGCCAGTGTTGGTGGAGGTGCGGGTTTGGTTTTGTTCCTCTGGTAGTTCCTTGATTAGGGTATTGTTCACTGCTTGATTGTGTGTCTGGTGATAACCTCTGCTTATGTGGGTGACGATTGCTGGTGAGGCAATCTTCTGACCTTTTGTCTCTTTTGAATAGTGTGTAGATACTGTTTATGTTCCTGTTAATTGCTGCCTTGTCTGAATACCAGGCTTCCAAGAATTCTCTTGCATTTTCGGATTTAGCTTGGTCTAAAATGCTGATAGTTTCTCAGTTAAAACT